ACGATAGCCATGTGATGTGAGTATCAGTCACATGGAAGCAGGGCTTAAAAGCCTGAATTTTGCTTGAAACTCTCAGAATGAAGAAGTCTCTTGGAGGAGAGACGAAACGTTTCATTAGAGAAGAACCCGTCCAGAAGACCTGTACAATTTTTTTTTCTTTTTTAAAAGAAGCAGCAACCACTGGGTAAGGTTACCTGACGGAGAGGGTAAAATCCCCAGGATTGCTCTTGCTCGGTCGGGCCAAGAAACTGCCGTGAACTCCCCGTGTCAACAGGAGCTGCTCTGCCTCGATTCCAGTGATGTTGGGGTGGAACCACCTGAAAATGTGGGAAGGAAAACAAGAATTTTAGGCATATTGCCTTTCATGCCAAAGTTTAAAACTAAGACCATTTTATGTTGAGGAATGACTGAGTTGTAGCTTCTTTAGTCAAACCTTATAAATGTTGTTAATCTTAGAAGATATCAAGCTCAGAGTGCTGTGAATGATTTTCACCTTTCAGCAGCATACGGAAAAAAAAATAGTAATAATAATTGTGCATCAGGAATCTTAAAGGCATCTGTTTTCTTCTTGAATAACGACTGCCAGTTTTATCCTGTTCTGTTTAAAAGGGAAGTACATTTTAGTTTATCATTCAGAGAAGCCTTTACTTCCCCTGCTGCTCAACACTGTTGGTCAGTCACCCCGGGAAGTGGACGTGATAAATATTTACCATTAGTTAGACATAAACCAAAGTACAGGTGCACTCTGGCACTTAACGTTAACATGCTGTGGTCTTGAGTTAAACTCTTGTTTAATGCATGAGGCAGGAAACCACTGGTGAAGAGGCAGCGCTCTACATCCCAGTGAATGATCTGTACGTCCAGTGTTTGGATTTAGAGCTCATGTTTAAGCAGGGATCACTGGGTTAAAACCCCTAACTACTGTGCTCCATTGCTGGCTAATCCAACGCCCCATTAGCCATCACGAGCCTCGTTTGTGCGTCAAGGCCAGGAGTGTTGACAAAACGGACTCGAAAAGGCAAAAGTGAAAAGTTTGTTTTATTTCCTGGTGATACCGGTGAACAGAACAGTTCTCATAAAACGTCTTCCAACAACTTAATAAGCCACAACAACCACAACAAAATATCTAAAAAAGTTGGTTTTAAATGTGCAGGTTTTAGATAGTCATTGTAAAACTGTTCAAACAAACGGGGCTTTTATTTGGTTATCACTTTTAAAGTACAGTACATAAATCAGTGATCAACAATTTGACACCTCTGGGTCACATATAGCACACTGATTCATTTTTTAAAAATAGAGATCACAAGTTTTACTCCCACATAGGCCATATTTTGCAAATGCGGCTCCAGGAGCTCCAATAGTAATAGATGAATTTATTAACTTCTCCTCGAGGTTGCAAGCTTTTCAGGAATGTTATTTTTACAACACAAAACCAGCAGAATAAATCACCCATACAAGGCAATTATTACAACTTAAATGAAAAGGTAAACTTTTAGGCTGTGAATTTATATTTTAAAAAGTGCAATTTACAAGTACAAACTATAAACATGTAGCATTTATTTCCCAATAATTGTGTTTATGTATTAGCAGTTTTGAGTAATTGAAAAGAGAAAACAAATCCTATATTACATTAAAAAATACTGTTTATTTTTCCACAGAGGACGTCATTTAAAGGGCAGAAAAACACCTAAATTAGATTCATCGTGAACTGGAAAATGACACATTTTTCTGGCGATGACAAAGACCAAATGAGTAATGGAAATCAAGCTTTTTACATTCTAAATCGTAGCCTTTCACAACCACCCTGTGGCACATTACAAAAGCTTATTATTGATTAATTTTACCCAGCAGAGAGGAGACAGAGGAGCGCCTTCATATACACTGCAATAAATGTCCATCTTATCACGTTTTAAAATCTTATATCCAGCCAAAAAGTCTTTTTGATCTTGTTTTGAGACTGATTTACTAAACAAGAACTGATTGTCTAAGAATAATCATCTTGTTTTCAGAATGTGTAAGATTATTTGTCTTGTTAGTCTGAAAATTTGACTCAAATTAAGTCAAAATTTTCTGCCAATGGAGTAAGAAAATTTTACTTGGTAAGATTCTTGAAATACTTGATTTGACTCATTTTTTTCTTATTTCAAGAATCTTACCAAGTAGGGGTGTAAGAAAATATCAATACACTGAAATATTGCGATATTTCATTTCCCGATACCGCATCGATATTCTAAAGCCCTGTATTGATTTTTTTATTAAGGTTTAAAATAACTTTCCTGCCAGTCGTTCATTTTTATGTTGTAGTTCAGCCTCTGACCACTAGTTGGCAGCAGTGAGCCAGCCATCTGGCAACTCTACCTCTTGAGGTAGAGGCTATTGTTAAGTGTTGGGTGACCATATTGTAAATTAATATTAAAAACTAAAAGCTGCAAAAATATATTTTCAAACCATTTACTGTCAAATTTAGTCTAATAATTGAAAACATGGATGAAATAAGAAATATGAAACAAATAAAATAAAATACAGTACATACAAAGCAGAACACAGTTAAATGAATCAAAAGTATGTCTATGTAATATTAGAATTTTCTGAGACAATGAATTTTGGTTTTTCATTTTTTCCCTGTAAGAGTTTTTATTTAATAGAATTTTTGGACAAAAAAAATCGCAATATATCGCGATATATCGCCTTGCTTATAGTAACGCAATATATCGGGATATATCGTATCATGGCCCCTCTGTCATGATATGTATCGTATCGCCAAATTCTTGCCAATACACAGCCCTATTACCAAATAAAATTTTCTTACTCCATTGGCAGAAATTTTTGACTTAATTTGAGTTTAATTTTCAGACCAACAAGACAAATCTTACACATTCTGAAAACAAGATTATTATTCTTATAGAACCAGTTCTTGTTTAGTAAATCAGTCTCAAAACAAGATCAAAAAGACTTTTTGGCTGGATATAAGAGTTTAAAACGGTAAGATATACAGTTTTTGCAGTGTAGGCTGAGATGATCCTATCTGAAGCTCCAACAGTGGAATAGCATTTAGACATTTCTCTCTTTGTGTGACACAAACTCACGACACTAAGATAAAAATAGGAGCTTGTGTCACCTCAAAGTGATAAATACACAACAAAATACTTTGGAAAATCACTGCCGCTGTGAGGGTTTGGATCTTGGGACGTTAACAGACACAAAGCCTTACTAAATGTCATTTAGTCAAAACAGTCATCTAAATTAGATGAAGGTGAAACATTTACTGAAACTAAACCTCCAAAAGTCTGAGTTTGCTTTTTGAATCTAAAATATAAAAGTGTGTGACGATCGAGATTAATCAAATGTCGGCTCACAAATCAAAAGTGACACTTGGAGCTCGTCAATCGCAAAACATCCCGACTTGTTTTGATTTTGATGAAACAAAAAACAAAAGAAGAAATAAAAAAAAAACCCAGACAGGTGGGAGAAAATTAGTAGCAAAATCATTAGAAAAAAAAACTATAAAAATGGGACAGCTTTAAAGAACATAACCGAAAACGATCGTCCTAACGAACAACGCAACACGAAGACAGAACAGCTCAGCACAGACCACACCGGCTGAGACATTTAACCCAGACTGCATCTGACCCCTTTATCCTCACCAGGGGGCAAAACCCATCTCATTCCTTCTCAATCTCACAGCTGAGGCAGCAGATTATAGGACGAACTCGACAAATTAAAAGCCCATCATTCCTTGACGAAATGATCACCCACCTCCTCTCAGGCCAGAATTTTAGAAATCACAAAATATTTTAGTAAAACCTTTACAACACGTGTGATCTCTTGTAATTGATTAAGATGCGATGCTCAGAGTACGTGTTGAGGATGGGTCTCAGCTCCACATTCAATTTTACCTCAATATCTGTAAACTTATATGAGTAACGTCTTTTTTTTTGTAATTATACAATCAGTTGGTTATGGCAGCCATCTTGATTTGGATTTTACTCTACATCCAATTATCAGTTTCTGTAAGTTTCAATTACATTTGTCCAGTGGATCATGATATATTTTGGTAACAGACACATAAAAACACGGGCAACACTGCAAAAAATGTCTACCTAACCAAGTTTTAAAATCTTATATCAGCCAAAACGTCTTTTTGATCTTGTTTTGAGACTGATTTACTAAACAAGAACTGATTGTGTAAGAATAATAATCTTGTTTTCAGAATGTGTAAGATTATTTGTCTTGTTAGYCTGAAAATTTGACTCAAATTAAGTCAAAAATTTCTGCCAATGGAGTAAGAAAATTTTACTTGGTAAGATTCTTTGATTTGACTCATTTTCTTCTTATTTCAAGAATCTTACTGAATCAAATTTTCTTACTCCATTGGCAGAATTTTTTGACTTAATTTGAATGCCTGGTTGCTTTAAAAAAATGGAGTTGAACTTTAATCTTTATTGTTGGCAGCTATGTTTCTGTTCATGTGATAACGGTTTACGTTTACGATATATTTTTCCTTACTTCTCTAATCAAACTGGTTGGAGCTTTTAGGTTAAGGGCCACTGACGGGTCACAGTCGTCAGGTGGTGGACAGATTACTCGTGTATTGTTTTTAATCCCGATTCATATGGGAATATATGCATATAAAAAAACAGAAGGATAAAAAGCCCTTGTGTTTGTAATCCGTTTCTAATCCTTTGTCACAATTCTGCTGTCACTCGTCTAATGATTAAAACAATGGAGATGCATCAGACACAAACATTGGAGCAGGGTAGGCCTGAAATATATTTAAAAATCTTGCAATATGTAACAAATTTAGCAAAGCAAATAACGCAGTTCACTTGATTGGTCAAACATATGTGATCACCCATCACATCGAAATGAGGATTAAGTCTAAAAGTGGGACATGGAGAAATAGGCAAATTTAGTGTTTTTACTAAAACGTTTGCAAAAATGCATTTTGCTAAAACATAATGAATTAACGCCTTATCAATGTATCTTTTGAATGAACTGTCTGAAATATAAATCATAAAACAACATTTTGAAGCACTTTTTTGAGCAGTAGCAACAAAAAAAACTGATTTTGAGCAAAAACGCCTTTAAACTTTGACATTTTCCCTGTGAGCTAGCAATGTTTTAGTTTCTTTCCAGCTGGGAAATCTCAATTTTCAAATAATATTTGAAGTTTCCTCTTAATAATGACGTCAAAAATTCCTCATTAAAATTACATAAAATTAGGATTCAGATCAAATATTGTTGTATAATGGTAACCAACAAGACAAATTTAAGTCGTATACTGTATATGGATTTGCTTAAGATATCAGATTGATCC